CCCCAGACCCACCCCTGGTTGAGGATTTGCCCCCAGTGTGCACCACCAGCTTTTCCCAAATTCATCCCTGGTTAAGGATTTGCCCCCAGTGTGCACCACCAGCTTTTCTTAAATTCATCCCTGCCTGAGGGTTTGCCCCCATGGGCACCACCAGCTTTTCCCAAATTCTTCCCCTGGTTGAGGATTTGCCCCCATGGGCACCACCAGCTTTTCTTAAATTCATCTCCTCGTTGAGGATTTGCCCCCAGTGGTCACCACCAGCTTTTCTTAAATTCATCCCTGCCTGAGGGTTTGCCCCCATGGGCACCACCAGCTTCCCCCAAATTCATCCCTGGTTAAGGATTTTCCCCCATGGGCACCACCAGCTTTTCCCAAATTTATCCCTGGTTGAGGACCAGCTCCCAGTAAGGAAACACATTTTCCTTGGAGTTGTGGGTGGCACTAGAGGTTTGCCAGGCAGCTGCCATTGTCCCAGTGGAAGATAATACCACTGTAGAGGTATTTTTCCCTTTTTTTGAGAAAAAGATGGGACCAGGCCAGCCAGGCCAGGCACTGGAGTAGTGCCAACTCCCATGGGACACCACACAGCCACTGCAGCTCCTGCAGCCACACCTGGATCCATTCATACAATTCCTCTACTGCAAAAACAACCCCTGGGAAGATAGGCCAAATTCAAACCCAAAAGATTTTTCTGCAAGCTTATATAAATATTTTATCGTGTTCCTCCTTTCCCCCAGAGCTCCAGAGTCCCAGGAGTGCTGACACCCAGAACTGACAGTGCAAAGCACGTGTCACAGAGACTTTGGGAAGCTGCATCACACTTGGCCACACCTGTGGCTCTACTTCACCAGGCAGAGGCTGCCAGCCAGGTGAGACCTGTGATTCTAAATTGAGATAAACCCTCCCTGGCAGGCATCAAGCAGCATCCCAGCAGATGAAGCTGTCAGGGTTGTGTGACCTTTTCATCTGCTAGAAGATGCAGCTGGGAGCCGAGCAGTAGCTCTTTATTTTCTCCATTTAATATTAAAAATTCTGTCTGGGAAGTACAGAAGGCCTTTTTCCACGTCTGCCCAGCGGGTTCTGGGCTCTGTGGTGCCAACAGCAGCCTAACAAGATGAAACAAATACTTCAATTTATTTGTCTCCCAAAGGACTGGGAAAACAATAGCACAGGATCTGGAGATAGATATTAAAAACAAAAGACAAATTGTATTACAGCCAAAACCTTGATTAGTTCCAGGCGGGAAAGTGAGAGGGATTTCACTGCACTCCATTTGGAGTGACCTTGGTGTGTATTTTAATTTATATCCTCATCTAATTAATACTACTTACTAATAGCTAACTCCTCAAATAGAAGATATACATGGGCACCCCGTTTTTGCAGGATCAGACCAGCTCATGCATTCCAAGGCATTTGGGTGCCTATGGATGTGGCCTCAGTGCAGTGCCAAAGCACTGCTGTTTATTGGTAAAAATAATAATGGTAATTCCCCCGAAAAAATTAAAAATATCAGGAAAATCTGATGGACCTGAACCTTCCTCCAGGATGTCATATCTGGCAACAAACCTGTGTTATTTGAACACTGAATAAAATGATATCAGGGTTAAGTTTTCAAGCAACAATTATTTCATCGCAGTGTCTCTTCTGCCTGCTCAGGAGAAAATTAAGCTGGCAGAGTTTCTTTAATGTAATAACCCTGCTTCTCACCCCAGAGGTAATAATTACATCTAGAATGGAAAGAGAAGCTAATTCCCGATTGCTTTTACTCAATAGGTTCCCTGTTATCCAGCATGTCCAGGCTTCGCTCCCAACAATGCAAATCCTTAACAACCCACTCAGGATGTGCAACCCTCCCAAAACTTTGTGTGATTTCAACCCAGAGCTGTGGGGGCAGGGGGTGGCACTGACGTGTTGAGCACGTAGAGCACGGTGTGGATGATGTAGGGGATGAGGTGGATGTTGCTCTCGCGGCCGCCGCCGCCCGTGTCGATGCTGAACGACTGCTCCATGGCGAAGCGCAGGAACAGCAGCTTGATGTCGTGCACGTTCAGCTGGTACGTGGGCTCCCGCTGCCCCGTGCACTCCTGGAGGTACGTGTTGTGGCTGCAAAACAGCAGGGAGCTGTGGCTCTCAGATTCAAAGGGAGAAACTGAGAGCTTCTAGCCAGGCAGAGGCCTGGGAAAGTGCTGGAGAAAAATGTAAATAATTCTTTATCTCTCTTGTTGTTCACATTGTTTACAGTTAAGTTCTATCACTGTACACCAATGCTTTGAGTTGTTTTCACTTCAGAACCAATGGAGTTGGTCCTCACAGAGCTCTGTATAAAAGAGCGGTGTATTTTGAATAAATCAGAGTTTCACTCTCACAGCCTTCTGACTCAAGTCTATCCATTCCCCTCCTGCCTCGACAGTGACATCGAGCTTGCACACAGCTCCTCCTGCCACAGCACAGCCCAGGAGCCCAGCAAGGATGGCACAGAGAAGCTTTAACAAAGAACAGCTACACGACGGGAGCCCCTGCTACCTTGGATTAACCTCCCCAAAGGGAGGCTGTCAGCTCACTCTGGCAAATCCAATTCCATCTGCAGATAGCTGTCCACCCATCAATACTGTTTTCCCATGCCCAGGACCTGGGATACAGCTCCCTGGCTGAAATGGTTCCAGGATGTCATCACTCTTGATTCCACAGAATCTCACAATGGTTAGGGCTGGGAGGGACGTTAAAGATTATCCAGTCCCAACCCCTGCCATGGGCAGGGACACCTTCCACTATCCCAGGTTGCTCCAAGCCCCACCCAGCCTGGCCTTGGACACCTCCAGGGATGGGGCATCCATAACTTCTCCAGGCATCTTGTGCCAGTGCACACGCCTTCACAGGGAAGACTTTCTTCCCAATATCTGATCTACACCTACCTTCTGTCAGGCTCAAAATTTCTAAGGTGACATTACAAGCCCACCAGAAGGTAAACCAGAATCCTGACACCAGCATCTCCATCTGCTCCAGACAGGTGCTCATATACCTCAGTACCACCCAAGAGAACTCTGGAAATCTACACCAGGGAATCCAGTGGTGTCAGGAGATTTCTTTTGTACAATAGGAGCTCACTGGGCCACAAATGAATCAACACTGCATCTTCAGCAGTGACTGGAGGCTAAGGAGGCTCTGAAATTATTTACATGAAGCCACAAAGCAAACAGACAGCTGTACTTTTTTTGGAGATTCACTCTTGCTGGTAGAACCTGACATAGCTCAGATTTCCCAAGATTCAGATGCACCACCTCTGATCCCAAGATTTCAGGGAAATGTGTGGCAAGGATCTGACTCACCCAGATGCAACCAGCCGGGGAAGAACCTGCCTGTACTCACCGTGCCAAGCACGTGGCAAAAGCAGACTCTGGCACGTGGGGCCCCCACACTGGCAGGAGCCCATTGCACTTGGTGTTGGCATTTTGCAGGGCTGCGCTCTCCCACTCCTCGCGGCCCCGAGCGAGTCTGCACGGAGAAAGAGACACAGCACACCAGGCAAGTCAGGAGGATGCAAGCTTTTGTCTAAGGAAAAAACAACTCCAAAAATGACAATTTCACAGCTTCTCTCCGTGCTGGACTTGGCAGAGTCCAGGTCTGAGCAGTGTTAAAGCAGACCCTGATGGAGAAGCTCTGCAAAGTGATCAACAACCCAGCCCGAGTTCCAGGGTGACCCCAAAGCACCTGAAAAGGCCTCCAGCCCCACTGTGGGGCTGTGGGGCTGTGGCAGCACGTACCTGACAGCTGCCAGGTGGCAGTCGTAGTGCACGATGTTGAAGTGGGACACGGTGCTGTAGCCCTGCTGCTTGCGGGGCTTGTTCTCAAACTCCTCGAGCGCCACGCGCTTGGTGAAGGTGTAAATCCCCAGCACCTT